GTTTTTTGGTTTTTCCAGACAGGGTTTCTCTGTATTGTTTTGGAGCCTGTCCTGGAACTTGCTCTGTAGACCAGGCTGGCCTTGAACTCACAGAGATCCGCCTGCTTCTGCCTCCTGAGTGCTGAGATTAAAGGCGTGTGCCCATCGCTCAGCTGGGGGATGGTGTTTTGCAAGTTCCAAATAGCTGCTCAGTGGGTCATCCCAGGGGCTTGCTAGGCAATGCTACAGGCACCCGGTGCCTCCTGGCCTTGCCATCTAAGTGCTAGCCTATGGGGAAGCCATTACTATTACAGGTAGGAAAAGCAGTTGGTTTTCAAGGGCAAAGTTTCCATTATTTTACAGGAGTCTCCCTGTAAAATAAGAAGAAGGGACAGCAGGTAATGTTGAGGTGGAAGACAGAGAGGAAGGGAAGTTAAGGGATGAGGACAGAAGGGATCTAGGCCCTGATGAAATAAGAGTAGAAGTGCGGGGGTGGCTGCTCGGGGCTGTCACACTGGGCATCCTTTGAATGTCCTAGAGAGTCTCTGAGATGCTCCTGGTCCACCCCCTGGGGAAGGCTTAGCAGCTACTGGACAAAACCCTCTCTGACCTTCCCAGAGGAGCCCCGAGCTGAGGGTGCGGGGAGCATGGGCTGCCTCAGCAGCATCAACAGCAGGGTCCACGTCAGGCCTCCGCCCTCAGGGGCCTTCTGCCTAATGGAATTGGACAGCCCCTTCCCCCTCAGTGCTTTGCTGGCTGAGAAGGAGGCCAGCATAGCAGGTCAGGTGGTAGGGGTGCTTGGGGACACTCACTGAGCTCTGTCAAAGCAGGGCTGTTTTGGGCCTGAGGTCAAATGGGAGGAGACTCTGCCTCTCCAATGATTCCCTGCTCACATCCCAGGAACTCCATGAGTCCCTGACCAGTCTGTTGTGTCCCTGGAATGGAGTAAAGGAGGCTCCAGGGCAAAGGAACCAGTCTGAAGCTCAGGTAAAGACAGGTAAGGTGGGCAGGCTGAGCCCCACCCCCATCTTTGTCAGAAATGCTACTGGATTTTTCTGTCCATCCATGTGCTCATCTGCGTCCCCCAATGCTATCCTCATTCTTGGCTCCATGCACTTCACAGGGAATGGCTAACGCAGCCAAGCCGGAGCCATCTTCGATACAGGCCCTGCAGGTAACCAACTCAAGTTCCAGCTCTCCCATCCTGTTTCCACTCCCATTTAATACAGTCACATGCTCCAGGGCAGGCCCACCCTTCAGATACGAACATTTCCCCTGTAACAGAGCCTCAGGCCCTCTCTTCCCTCCTGCCCTGGTGCTTTCTCTTTCCTCTTTCCTTCTCTGCCTTGCCGGACACAGGAAATGTCTAGAGATGATGAAACAGTGTCTTTCTGGCCCCAGGTCTCCTTACTTCCCTACCCCCCCCCGAGCAAGTGTAGATTTCTTAAGGAAAAATGAGAAGAATTCACAAAATTGTTCAGGGATTCCGGGAAAGAATATCCCAGGACAAGGGAGATCAAAACACATAGCCTGTTCCTCCTGCCCCACAGCGCACACGTCAAGGTCTCTGGCTCTACAACACACAGGATTCCAGGGAAATCGGCGGCGCCTCGGGACCCTACCTAGGGGGCCTCCAGTCCACTTTTCCTGCCTCCCACTCACCCAGGCAGCTCAGGCCCAGTTCCCAGTGGGAAGAGGAGTGCAGAAATAACAAGTGGCTTTCTAAGGCCAGCTGTTTCCCAGGGCGGGGGTGGGGAGGGTGGCCAGGGTTTGGAATGTGCGGGATCTCCCTTTCTCTCAACAGCCAGATGGTCCTTCTGCAGACACTGGAAGCCCTAGGCAGGCACTGGGGACATCTGGGGCATATTCATTTGTCCAGCTGAGCTCCTGACAGTGCCTATTGACCCAGCTGACGCTCAGCCCAGCACTGGGAGGAGGGAGTGTCTGCCCTCTGTGCCATAGAGCTGAGGTTGCAACAGGGCCGGAGAGCTGTGGAGCCCACTATCCTGCCTCTGACCCTGTGACTGCCAGACATTGCTAATCCCAGAGATTGTGTGAGGTGTAGGGAGGCCACAGGCCAGGGTCTAGCAGGGTTAAGGCTGCCTCTGCCCCACTCAGCAAGGCCTGTGCCTCCATTTCTATAACCATAAATGTAGGTCTACATGGGAGCTTGGACATAGCTTTGTTTCTGTGTCTCTGTGTGTTTGGTGTTTCAAGTGATCGCTTGATAGTGTGGATTACTATGGAGAAAAGTGGTCATTGATGTGTCTCATCCCTCCTGCCTCAGCTTCATAGTGGGGGCCATATGCCTCTTAAGGAAGGCTGGGATGGCAACTTGGCTTCTGGGGTTAGACTCCTTCCAGATCACTTTCATGAGCTAAAACTGTATATCCTTTCCTATAGTCCCAGTAGGGGAAAAAAGGAAAGAAAAGGTGTTGGGGGGGTTGCAGGCTGGGCCCAGAGACACCTGGGTCCCTTGGTCTACTTCAAAGGCTTATATGCTCCTCTAAGGACAGGCCCCTGGGAAAATGGGAGTTCCATGCTCAGTCTGTGCTGGGTGAGTAGAGATGGGAGGACAAGGGGATACAGCCCCAGGGTGGACATTTTTGAAAGTCTTGAAGGCACAAAGTGGCAGCAGTTCTCCACCTCTCAGATGAAAAACATTTGAAAAACAGATCTTAAGCTTCCTTTAGGCTTGTGCCACCAGAAAAGTTCTCTGGAGCCCCCTCCCACCTGCTTCATAGGTTGCTTAGCAACAGGACCTTCCCAGAGAACACCAATCCAACACCCAGGAGAAGCCCTTCCCAGAGCCTCAGACTCCCATGCCCTTGCCCCTGCTCCTAGACAGCTGGCCAGTGCAGGTATCACAATAAGCAATGGTCTAAAGCCACAATGTCCCTCCCCTTACCCTTCTGTTATCCTATCCTGTTATCCTGTCTCCCTCCCAACCAATCTTCTCCATTCATGCCCCCCTTCCTTTCCCTAATTTTTCTTATTGAAACTTTTCATCTGCTCCGCTTCCAGAGAAAATTCCAAATATGTATTTCTCTGTACATGTGAAAATAACTTTATTGTCCTCGTGCAATGTCTTTATACACTGTTCCACACTGCCCCCCAATGGCTAGGCCAAAGGCTTCAAAAAATTCATGCTTTCTGACTTGGCCCCTCCTGTATCAGACTCATGGTTAATAGGCCCGAGAATAATTAAGGCAAGAGACTGTTGGAAATTACCCCAGTCAAGGGATCTTTGGGGGAATGAGAAGAAACGCTAAAAGATTCCCTTTTCCTAAAATCCAGCTTGTTGCTCACTCACTGGCCCGTATCGAGGAGGAATGAGTCCGGGGACACGGGTACAGGATGGAGTGTGCAGTGTGGGGTGTAGAGAGGAGAGGGTTTTAGCGGCCTTGCCATCTGCCACGACCTGAGACATGCAGAGCATGGGCCTGGCTGGGCTCCCAGGCCTGTGCACCCTTGCCCCCAACACACACTGGTGGCAGGCAGGGATGGTGGCAGTCAGTGGGTCCTCAGAGACGAAAGGGAGATATGCAACTGTCACTTCCCTTGGGGACCACCCTAGTCTAGTCAGGTTCCCCAGCTTTTCCTGGGTTAGGAGCAGGGCCATTTCACACATTTTTCCAAGGCAAGAAGAGATGTCTAAGTATGGAAAATAATTTAATAGAGAAACAATAAATGCATTCTTTACATACATCCAGCCTCCAGCAAGGAGAATGTTCTACTTTGCCCTAAGGAGGCAGTTAAGGGTAGAATGATTAGAACTCACCAATGGTCTCTGACTTTAGAAATAACCCCTGAGACAGACAGACAGACAGACAGACAGACACACACACACACACACACACACACACACACGAAAAAGGAAACTCTCACAGCTTGTGGTTTGGAGTTATCTGATGCAGAATAGCTCCCCAGTTCCTTATTCAAAAGTCAGCCTTCAACGCAAAAATTTGAAACAACATAATGATATAAAAAAGAAACTTCTGGGGGGAAGGGGGGGAGGGCTTGGGAGGGAGGGAGGGAGGGAATGGGAGAGGGACCTGGAACTGACTTGTGAAGCAACCTTGTTTCTTATCTAAATTTAAACTGGAAAATAAAATTTAAAAAAAAGGAAAAAAAAAAAGAAAAAAAATTAAAAGCATAGCCCTGATAAAGCAAAAAAAAAAAAAAAAAAAAAAAGAAACTTCCACTAATTCCAGATATGTAAATTTGGCTCCAGCTCACACCAGGTATAAGCTGTGGAAATACCCATGGCTTAATAGGACAGAAGGGAATACCCAGGCCCAGCAAGCCCCAGCTCTAGTACAGGGCCCACTATATGACTAGTGTAGCATATCCCTCCCCCCCCAAAAAAAAACCGCTGTAAGTAGGAGAGATGAGGACCCTTCCTCCATGCCAAGGCAGGGACAGGTCTGGAATTCTCACATGTACTTCACTCCTACAAAGGACAGGACTTTCATGCATGAAGGATTGTCTTAAAGTACTGAAAGGATGGCAGGTGTGTGCTCCCAGGAAGACTGGAGAGTTCTGCAGGGCTGAATGCATACTGTAGGGTAGGTAGTCCCTGAGGGGTATTGGAGTGTCCATTCCAGTGCAAAACGGGAGTGGGGTTGGAATAAAGGCTCCCAGGATGGGCTGGCCCAGGTGCAGCAGCTTCCTGGTAGCAGGGAAGGAACAGAAGTGCCCTGAAGAGGCACGATGTACTCTCTGCAGAGCAAAAAACATGGTGTGATGATGTTCTGAAGTCAGCAGGCTTAGGTCAGTGTCACCTAATAACAGCCATATTAAAGTAATTCTCCCAGGAGCCAGGCATTGGTGGCGCACACCTTTAATCCCAGCACTTGGGAGACAGAGTCAGGTGAATCTCTGTTGAGTTCAAAGCCAGCCTGGTCTGCAGAGCAAGTTCCAGGACAGCCTCCAAAGCCACAGAGAAATCCTGTCTCGAAAATAAAAACAAAACAAACAAACAAAAAAACCCAAAAAAGCAAAAAAACAAAACAAAAGAGTAATTCTCCCAGAGTTTAGTACACCTGGCACAGTCCATCAGCCACCAGGTCCTCTGGGGGTGGAGAACATTCAGAGAACTCTGGGAACTAGGATGTGGGCATCTTGGAGGTACCAGGTGCCCAGGCATGAACCTGGGTTGGTACATAGCTTCTCTCTAGGCTTGTGTTCCATCCACCAGTACTTCCAGTGTCACTGTAGTGTGCAAGCTAAGAGAGGTTAAAAGGAAAAGTCAGGCTTAGGTCTTTGGCGAGAGAGGCAGAACCTATAGCCCTGTTATGGGCTGTCAGACCCCAGGGCAGGACTCACAGCTACGAACTGACTCGGACAGTCCCTCTTTGTCCAGTGTCTCAGCTTCCCAGTGAGATTCCCTTATCTGTGGGCCATAAAGTAGGGCAAGGGGTAAGGCGGACAGCTAGACTCAGAAGTCACAGTGCACACACAACCACAAAGAGGAAGAACCCACAACCCACTGCCCAGTGTGGCCCATCCATGCCCACCTTGATCTGCTCTTTCAGGTATTCAGCTCGAGCCATGAGGTTCTGAACCTGCCCAGAGAAGGCATGCCCAGAGTGAGGGGGCTTCAAGTCAAGTGCCTCCTCACCCCGCCGCTCCCTAGAGCCTCTGCCTTATCAGAATGCATGGTCTCTGATCCCCCTATTAGTTCCCTCCTTCAGGAAGCTGGCCCTCCTGCAGGAGGTCAGCAGACTTTTGGTTTTTCCAATGACCCGAAGTCCCGAGTTACTGACTTTACTATTCTGAGCCCTGGCCTTGGGTCTTAGAATACCCAATAGCAGGGGAACTCCATATGTAACCTAAAGAGGATATACACGCACGAGCACACACACACACACACACACACACACACACACACACACACACACACACACACGAGCTGAGTAAAAAGAGAGGAAAGCGCACTCTCTGACTCCCATCCCCACTGAGTACCTCAGTGTGAAGTAGCTCCCGCCTTCGGCCTGGGGCTTCCGCTGTAAGGAGAGGGAAGCTGGTGAGGCCAGGGCCGTCAGTGGCAGGGGCAGAAGTGGTGTGGGGCCTTACCTGCCAACAGCAGCAGCAGCTCCCCGAGGCTGTGCTGGTACAGGTCCAGGGCATCCTGCTCCTTGCCTGCTTCCTCCTCCTACAGTCAGAGGGGCAACACATTCTTCCACGTTGTCCCTCGGTTTCCTTCCTATCCCACCCGGTCTCCTCCCAGAAAGCACAAACCTTGGCCATGGCAGCTGAGGCCACTTCCAGGGCAGCAAGGAGGCGAGGTTTGTCACGGGCCATCTCTGATGTGAGAGTAAAGGCTCAGAATGAGGGGAGAAGCCTGTGGTTTTTGCACAGAAAGTCCACCTCAGTCTCCCTGTCAAGATGGAGCGGGGTTGCCAAGACGCGTGCATGGGTCAGGAACTGAAGCCTACCTCGAAGCAGGCCTTGGACAGATGTGCCCTGCCTTAGCAGGGCCTGATTGGAGGAGGAGACAATGGCTTTGAGCTCCTCCGCCCGGGACACATATTGCGCCACCTGTAAGAGAATAAGAGGCTAAGGGCTGTTCCCCTAGCCTGTGCCCATATCCAAGTTTGCATCTGGTCCTCAGTGACTGCCTCACACTAACCAGGCCACACATCAAACAAACTGATCTGACCCAACCCTTCCCCCAGCCCTATCCTATGAGAGAGGAGGTTCCGAATCTGAGTGCCATCTGTCAGAGGCTTGTGATCTCTGGGTCCTCTCCTTCCATGGCCATCCATTTCCTCCTAGGGAGATCACCCTACCTTGGCCTTAATTGCTTCTTTCCGCTGGGTATCCACTTCGTCTGAGGAAGGGGAAGGGTTCATATGAGGAATCTGTATGGGAACCCCTGCCCCACCCACAGTCAGCCCTCTGCAATCCTCAGACACCAAGTTCCAGGTTCATCTTTGCATCGTGTCCCCTAAGGTACCGAATGGGGAGTCTGGCCCCATTTCTGCCCCTTCTGCACCCAGGTTATAGGAATGGTCTGGGCCTCACAGTGCAGGGCGGGCACAAAGAAGTCCAGAGCCTTGCAGTAGAGTGACAGGGCGGCAGCAGCGTCCCCCTCCTGGTCCTTCTTCACAGCCTCCACCACAAGGGCTGTCTGGGGGATGGGAGGATCAACAGTCAGACCGAACTTCCTAATGCCACACCAACCAGCATCAGGCAGAACCCCACCTGCCTCGCGGCCACCAGGACAAACGAGACCCAGCCCACCCTATCTCCACTGGTCTGCTTACTGCTCGTGCCAGGCTCTCCCCACTGGGCATGTGCTCCAGGTCCACCCAGGGGTGGGCAAAGAAGTCCTGGAAGGAGATTCGACGGCTGGGGTCCCGCTCTAGAAGTCGCTGCAGCAGGTCACGGCAGTCTAGGGAGAGTTGGGGCCGAAGGGGGAGCTGCACAGGATTAGATCAAGGCCACATCACAGTGGGTTCCAACAGCTGAGCCCAAAGCCCAAGGTCCCTTAGGAACTCCCATAGGCGCTTATGTTTGTAAGTGGATTATCTGAGACCTGGAAAGAACATGGCAGGTCCTGGTGATGAGCAGCAGGAAAGCCAAGCATCCTTTACCAGGCCCCTATCAAATGGGAATTTGCCTCCAGCCCTGGACTATAAGACTGGGTCTGGCTCATCATGGCCTTTCTCCCATAGGTCACTTATTTCCTGCTGTGGTTGATCTGGACTTCAGGAATGGACCAGACTCTAGGCTTCCACTGTAGAACACGCCCCACCACCATGAAAGGCCTGGAGCCTAGACTGCAGTCTGTACCAGTGGAATAAGAACCTTAGGGCTGCCGGGCGTTGGTGGCGCACGCCTTTAATCCCAGCACTCGGGAGGCAGAGGCAGGCGGATCTCTGTGAGTTCGAGACCAGCCTGGACTACCAAGCGAGTTCCAGGATAGCCTCCACAGCCACAGAGAAACCCTGTCTCGAAAAACCAAAAGAAAAAAGAAAAAGGAAAAGAACCTTAGGGCTTTGAATCCTTCATTCCCCAGTGGATGCCAATGCCCTGCAAGACACACCTCAATAACCCGATTGCTGCGAATCTTTTCTTCTAGCTCTGAGAATGATCTGGAGGCAAAAGGGGGCTTCCCAAAGAGGGCTTCTGTGGAAGAAGGCAGAGGGGAGGCTGGAAGGAAACAGGGTTAAGTCTCTCCTCGCTCACCCCTGGGAAAGGAACCAAAATCCCTCAATTCTCATTAGAACCCAGGAGGGGCCCAGAGAAGCCTTGCCCAAATACAGAGTAATCAGGGTGGAAAGCTAGGGAATAAAGGTCTCACCATACAGGATGACCCCCGTAGACCAGAGGTCCACACGAGCATCATACTGCCGCTGGCACACCATCTCAGGAGCCATGTAGAGTGGGGAGCCACGTAGCACATGTTTCTCATCCCTTGGGGACATGTGCTGTGCAAAGCCAAAGTCTGCAGGAAAGAGGCCAGGCACAGAGCTCAAATCTCAGCTGCTACTGTGACTCCAATCAGAGCCCCTCCCCTGTGCTATTGGCCCTCAGCACTCGACCTATATCACCCTCTGGGGTGGAAACCCTCCTCGTGGCACATGGCCTCTTAAACAAGCCCATCTCAAAACACAAAGTACACTGAAAGCCCTCTGAGTTCCCCCCTACCCCGCCCCAGGACCAAGCTAGGTCATTTTCTCAGGCCTCCAAACTCAAGTCCATTCTTCAAATGTTTTCAGAGGCCACGACCACCCTTCCGCTCATATTCTCCTCAGCTGTCCAGGCTGAGTGAGACCTAATCCTAATGACAGACTGCTCACAGACTGACCCTGGATGCTGGTCACACACTGGCATCATTTCCAGACTGAGCCAGAATGATCTGGCTCTGACCAACTCTGACCCAGAGTGAACCCTAACTCCACCAACACTGCAGGGCTTAAGTGGTGCAGCCTGAGAACGGGTGCTACCTTTTGGTGATGGGCTCAGCCCTGTATTTCCTGACCTATCACCAATGACTAACAGAGGGACTGGTTAGGAACTAGGGTGCTGGGAGCCCAGCAAGGAACTCACTGTTTGCCCCTCTAAAACGTCACCCTGCTGCTCCCGACTCAGACCTGCCAGTTTCAGATGGGGCTTCTCCAAAGAGCTCAGCAGAATGTTCTGTGGCTTCAGATCCAGGTGAGAGATGTTTCGTTCATGCAGGAACTTCAGGGCACTAGCTGGGGAGCCCGCCCCATGGAAATAAGTCAGAGCCTAGTTCCCTGCCGCAGGCTTCCATCAGAGGGCTTCCATTACTGCGGTTTTGCCCCGGCTGGTCTACAGAGTACACAGAAGCACGGGCTCCTGCCACTATTAAAGGCATGTGCCACCTGGGACTCTGTCACTTCTAAGTTTTCCCACACGCCTGCTCTTTGCACTCTCTGTCGGACCCCTCCCCCTTCCTTCTAGGAGCCTCCTGAGAAGCCCAAGCCCTTTAGGACTTTGCATTCTTCCTTACTAAAGCTCTTGGGTTCCACCTACTGGGCCCTGAAGACTCTACAGGGTTCTTACATCATGTTCTACATGTGGCAGCCTGAACTCCCCACAGGTGCTAGGGACATGGGAAACGGCAAGGCTCTGGCAGAGGGAAGAGAACACGGGGCGTGCCGTGGGCTTTTACCCAGCTGCTGCATGAAAACTCGAGCCACCTTCTCAGGCAGGATCCTGCGGGTATGGATGAAGCGAGACAGGTCACCCCCTGCGCAGAACTCCATGATGAGGTAGATATTGTCATTGTCCCACTGTGGTTGGAAGTAAAGAGACAGCTGTAGGCAGCGTCCCTCCTCCAGCCTCCTTTGGAGGGAGCCCCGCCCCAGGCTCACACCTGGAAGTCTTTCAGGTGTACAATGTGAGGATGCCGAATGCCCTTGAGGATCTCAATCTCAGTCAGGAGGTTTTCCACAGACGCCTTGTTGAGACTTTTCTTGGCCACGCATTTTATGGCTACCACCTCCCGAGTATCCTTCTGTGGGACAGAAAGTTTGGGGTCTCTGTCTTGAGGGGGCCTGGGTCCCTCTGCAAACCTCCCCCTGCCTGGGTCTATCCACTCTCCACAGGCCTCCAAGTTTCCCAGCTTCCCCTTCTCAAATCAATGAGACATCTGGATTCTGGAATCCTGCCTTCCCAACCCATCCCCGTTTCTAACCTACAGCAGTACATTCTAGAGTGGCCAGAAAAAAAGGAAAGTCACTGTTGGAAGAGCTGGCCACTCCGCCTTCCAACTGGTCCTGCCTCCTGGGATTCTGGTCTCAGACTCCTCCCAGCCCCTAAGGCGACCTCCGTGCGGAGCCGGTTCTTCAGCCGCTGACACCCAGGTTCCTTAGGTCTTCGCCCACCCTTCCAGAGCAATCTGGAGTGTTTGTTTTTAAACCTATGAGGGGCGGTCAGCTCCGGCCTCTTCCACCCGCCTGGGACCAGGCGGTCGCCTCTCTCCTGCTCCAGCCGGCCCGTCACCCAGCCGGGCTTGCTGGCACAGGAGCCGGGTGTCCGATGCCGGGACACCTCGGGTACGGCCCGCCCACACCCACCTTGGCGTAGGCCTTGTACACCGTGGCGTACGTGCCACTGCCCAGGCGCTCGGTAAGGATGAAACCGTCCAGCCGAGGAAGACCCCAGCCGGGCCCAGCCATCCCGCGCCCGCCGCCAGGTGCTTCCTGGTTCGGGGCGCAGGTTCCGGCCCGACGCGAAGTGGGGGCGCTCGAGGGGCGGCGGGGCGGGACTCCGCACGGCCCCAGCGCCGCCCGCCGGAAGCGCAGCTCGACGCCTCCCCTCCGAAGCTCCTCCCTGCCTGCCGCGGGCTTGGTGACACCTTCTGCCAAGGACTGGCTGGCCGGTTTTCAGATACTCAGGCTTGAGTGGGCGTAGCGGAAGTAGGTCGAGGATTGAGGACACTATCACATGGGAAACCCTCTCTCAGCACACAGCATCTTAGGGCCCACCCACACTGCGGGCGGGAGGAAGAGCCTGGCCTTCTGCCCTCTAAGACCAGAAGCAGAGGGGCAAGAAGATCCCTGGGTCCCACTGGGTGAAGGGAACCTACTCCAGCAAGCTGTTCTTTGATCACCACACGCGCCCTGGAGCACACACAACACATACAGTAGAATATTTCTAAAAATTTGTTTTTCCGAGACAGGGTTTCTCTGAGTAGCCTTGGCTGTCCTGGAACTCACCTTGTAGACCAGACTGGCCTTGAACTCAAGAGATCTGCCTGCCTCTGCCTTCCAAGTGGCTGGGACGAAAGGTGTGTGCCACCACGCCTGGCTAAAAATAATTTAATTCCTTTGGAAGAGGCCAAGTTGCCATTACCAGGGTCCTCCCTTCTGCCTTTCACTCTCGGAAGGGGTTTCTCCTCAGAGTTGAGTGGCTTGACAGTTTCCCACAGTCCAGCTGCCAAGGATCTTTTTTTTTTTTAATTTATTTATTTAGAATACAACACCCTGCCTCCATGTACACATCAGAAGAGGGTACCAGATCTCATTACAGATGGTTGTGACCCACCATGTGGTTGCTGGGAATTGAACTCATGACCTCTGGAAGAGCAGTCAGTGCTCTTAACCTCTGAGCCATCTCTCCAGCCCCGCTGCCAAGGATCTTAATTGTCACCTCATCTTAGTAGGCCCTCAGCCCTCCCAAGTCCACCAGAGACATCGGGGCCAGTGTTGTCCGAAAATCTTATTTTTATTTAAGCACAAAAATTGAGACATGACATATACATTTGTACATGGAGGAAAATACCAGAAAGTTAACAAAACCCTGGTGGCTGTCATTACCATTCAGTGGCTCTAGGGATAAATGGGATGACAGCATGAGGGTAGCCTCAGGAGGGCCCCAGTTCCCAGAGGCAGGAGGCTGGCCATCTTGGTGAACTCCTGCAGCACTAACACAGCACAGAGTTCAGGTTTCAACAGTGACCTAAGTGTCACTTTAGTGACACACCTGTGGAGTCTCCAGCACAAGTGGAAAGGGACCTAGACTCCACTGTGGGTATGGGAGAAACCCTCCGAAAGATGGCTCAGCAGTCCTGCCTGCAGGACACAGCTCTGGTCTGACATCCTCCAGCCACCCTAAGAGTTGTAAGAGGTGAGTATTGCTGAAGATGGGGCAGGAATAAGGCTAAGGCGGAGAGGCAGAATCCCTCAGGAGGGCAGAAGCCAAAACAAACCGGTCAAATGACACCCACCCTCTCAGCAGACTACCAGAGGGTGGGCAGGACAATTTGAAGGACTGTTTTCAGTCCCTCTAGATCCCCAAGTCCCAACCAACCTCACTCAGAAGCCTGAAGAGAAGGGCTAGCCTTCATTTCAGAGGGCACAAGGTGCTATTCCACCACGGGACAGAGCAGGCATAGAGGGGCATGGCTATTGTGAGGCACATGTGGGGTCCACCTGAGGCATCATTTGAGGAGCATCTCTGTGCATCACCCAGAACACAGCTCACCTAAAGTGGAGCCCTGGGGAGGCTTATGAAGCCTAAGCATGAAAAGGTGAGACTGTGGAGGCCCCAATACAGGTCAAGCCTGCAGAGGGAGGAGTTGTGTCCAGGGTGCCTGTGGAAAATTCCTGGTACAGCGAACCCAGGCCCACCAATGATCCTGTGTGGGATGTGAACACGCATGCACGTGAGTACATTTGTTTTCAGGGGAAGCAGCCCCACTGCTTCCAGATAAAATCCTACCGTCAGAAAATCCACCATTAGAAAAGGAAAGACAGCTTTGTTATTTTTTTCTTTTCCCTTGTCCCTGTCCCTTCCTCCCCTTCCCTATGTGGAAGGGACCCTGACTACTGACTACTGAGGAAGGAACAGGAACAAGACAAAATCCCTGCCAGGTCTGTGCTGGACATAAGCACTATATAAGGCACCCACGGAAAGTGCAGCTCAGAGGGCAGGTGAGAGAAGACGCTGGGGTGAGGGAAGGAGAGTCAGGAAGATTAATTCCCCTGGAAGGTTCCTCGGGCAGCAGATGAGGCAGCATTGCGGAAGGTTCTATTGCTGAAGATGCCCTGGGAAAACTCTTCCTGAGCCTGCTGGAAGCTGGCTCCTGTTCGGCGGTAGAAGGCATGTACCTGGGGAACAAGGCTGGAGTGAGAATTGCCCAGAGCAATCACAGCCATCAGAGTATGCTCCCAAAGGGGTTCACCAAGAGTTCAACCCTGTCTGGGTGCTTACCAGGAGCTTTGGACAAAGGTGTTGGGCTCCTGAGGACTTCACCCAGGAGAGATGGACCTTTTACTTGTGTTTGCTGGGAGCTCACACCCTACTTACCCGCTGCAGGAGGAAGAGTGAGAGCCCAGCACAGAGGGTAAAGAAGCCAGCCACTACCATCATGATGATGGACACAGGTAAGGGCCCATCGTGCAGTGTAGACAGGGCTGCGAGCCAACCACTACAAAAGGAGAAGCCAGAGGTGAGGTAAGATTGAGTCTCAGAAGCTCCCACGAGGAGCACTTCTCCCAGATGGCTGTGTCCTGGCCGTCACCTGGGCATCTCCCTGCAGCCCAGGGAAGCTTGTGCTTCAGTGACCTTCCTCTGTGAAAGACCAGGGTGTGAGCACCGAGAGGCCCACACCGCTCCAACATGATCTCTCCTGAAGTCTCAGAGGTGGACTCACACGGAAATCTGGCCCAGGGAGGTCAAGAAAGGAGACTGACAACTGTCTTGTCAGGATCAGCCCAAGGGTCAGTGTATGTTGCTGACTGAGGGTGGGCACAGGGAAGACACTGGCTCTACACAGAGGATTCTGGGGAGCAGAGCACTGGCCAGCCTGCTGCCTTTACCTTGTCACCTCAGCTTCCCCACAGCTTCAGTGGCCTTAGCTGTAAAGGGATTTTTCTCAGTGCTGCCTGAGTTCAAAACTTACAACAAAGCTACAGTAATCAAAACAGTGTGGGAACAGCATGAAGACAGAGCAATGCCACAGGCTTCTGAGACCAGATATACCTATTTTTTTTTTTTTTTTTGGTTTTTCGAGACAGGGTTTCTCTATGGCTTTGGAGGCTGTCCTGGAACTCGCTCTGTAGACCAGGCTGGCCTCGAACTCACAGAGATCCACCTGCCTCTGCCTCCCGAGTGCTGGGATTAAAGGTGTGCGCCACCACCGCCCGGCCAGATATACCTATTTTTAAAAATGATTTTTTTGCTGGGTGTTGGTGGTGCACGCCTTTAATCCCAGCACTCGGGAGGCAGAGGCAGGCGGATCTCTGTGAGTTTGAGACCACGCTCGACCGACAGCCTCCAAAACAGAGAAACCCTGTCTCGTAAAACCAAAATAAATAAATAAAGTAATTAATTAAAAAAATAAAAATTAAAAAAAAATTTTAAATTTTTTCTGTGCATTGTTGTGTCTGTGTGAGGGTGACAGATCCTCTGAAACTGGAGTTACAGACAGATGGGAGCTGCCATGTGGCTGCTGGGAATTGAACCCAGGTGCTCTGGAAAAGCAGCAGTGTTCTTAACCACTGAGCCATCCCTCCTACCCCAGTCTAACTTTTTTTTTTTAAATAAAGGTGCTAAAACCAAAGGGGGGGGGCAATGAGATGGTTCAGTGGGCACAGGTACTTGACGCCAAGTTTGGTAATTGAGTTTGATACTTGAGACCTACATGGGAGAAGGGAAGATTTTATCCTTGGACCTTCACATCATGTCCTGGCACACGTGCCCCCCACCCTGATAAATAAAAGGAATAAAAAAAAGGTTTTAACATCCCAAAGGGGAACTCACAGTCTCTACAAATGGTACTGGGACACCTGGTTCTTACTTCAATTATATATTAAAATCCACTCAAAATAGGGCAAAGATTTAATTGTAAGAGTGGAGGCTATAAAACTCTTTGAAAAGCCGGGCAGGGTGGCACACAGCTTTAGTCTCAGTACTCAGAAGGCAGAGGCAGGAAAATATAAGTCCTAGGACCACCTGATCTACATAGGGAGCCCCAGGACAGCAAGGGCCATGTCTCAAAGTAACAAAAACAAACTCTTAGAACAAAACAGAAGTAACTTGCCATGACCTTGAATTTGCTGATGGTTTAAGTGTGACACCAAAAGCACAAGCAACAATAGAAAATTACAGCACCAGAGAAACCTGGTTTACCCAGTAAAGCGACTTGCCACCAACCCTGACATGAGCTTGATCCCTAGAACCCACATGCTGGAAGGAAAGAACTGACTCTCACATGTGGGTCCCTGCACACATGTACATGTACACTAAAGGAAAATCAAAACCTTTTGTGTATTAAAGCTGAGTGCTGTGGCTTTATACCTGTAATCTCAGCAATTGGGAGGCAGACTTATTTTCCAAAAAAAAAAAAAAAGAAAAGAAAAAGAAAGAAAAAGGAGAGCTTGGTAAAGTGCTTGCAGCATAAGCTTGAAGACTTGAATTTAGAACCCCAGAACCCATATAAAAAGCCTAGGCTTATAATCCAGGCAGCACTAGGAAGGCAGAGACAGGCGGATCCCTGAAGTCCGCTGGTTTAACTAGCCTTTTCTGCAAACTTCAGGCTAATGAGAGGTGGCAAAATGACTCAGCAGGTAAAGGTGCGGGCTGCCAAGTCTGATAACCTGAGTTCAATCCTGGAACCCAAGTGGCAGACAGAAGAGTCCTCCAAGTTATCATCTGATCTCTATCTGGACTCACGCATTACACACACACACACACACACACACACACACACACATACACACACACACACACACACATACACACACACACACACAGAGAGAGAGAGAGAGAGAGAGAGAGAGAGAGAGAGAGAGAGAGAGAGTGAGAGAGAGAGAGAGAGAGAGAGAGAGAGAGAGAGAGAGAGAGAGAGAGAGAGAGAGAGAGAGAGAGAGAGAGAGAGAGAGAGAGAGAGAGAGAGTAAAAAAGTAAGAAAGTAGCAAGGTGGATGGTGCTTGAAGAACGACCCTGTCTTCCACACAGAGGAGTACATACATACGCTCCCCACATGAACTCTTGCATACATGCACATACACATTCACAAAGAGAAAATACAATGGTCGCAGGTCTATGGGAAGGCAAGAACAGGCAGGAGCCAGCAGAGCTCACTGAGTGCAAGACAGCGAGGGCAGGGCCAGCAGCAGACGTCAAAACTCCACGTTCCCAGTCCAGGGTGCACACAGCAGTTATTAATCATAGCACGCCCCACCCCGTCACCACTTTTTAATTTGTCTGTTGATTTGAGATACCATCTCACTATGAACCCTGGCTGGCCTAGATCTTGTTATACAGACCAAGGTGGCCTCAAATGAAGAGATCCATCCTCCTTTGCCCTCCTGAGTGCTAGTATTAAATGCATGAGCCACCAGGCCCAGCTCATTTGTTTTTTGAGACAGAGTTTTTCTATGTATTCCAGGCTGGCCCGGAACTTACTACATAGCTTAGGCTGACCTTGAACTTTCAATCTTCCCGCCTCATCTCCCAAGTGCTGGGATTACAGACATGGGCCATCCACACTTGGCCAATCTAGCTTTCCTAACAACATCCAGTTTAGATGAAACTGGATGAAACTGGACCACACGTCAAAAGAGTCCAGATTGGAACAGCAGACTGAGAAGGAAGCAGGCGGCAGTGAGCTCAGGCTCACAATGCTACTGCAGCCAGCCCTCTCCCCACACTCTGGACTTGCTAACTGCTATAGGGAAGGGACCAAAATCGTGACACCCTTCTAGGCTCATGCTCTCAGCCCTATGCCAGCATGACCTCTTTACAATGTTCCCTGTGTGCTGGGCTAGAAAGGAAAACGTCAGCCACCAGCTTTTCTTTTGGAAATTAATTCTGAACTGAGACTAAGTTAGCCAAAACACTCAAGCCAGCTACAAGCTCCAGAACGGCAAGCCACCTCTCCAAGGAGACAGGCCCCATCTCCTACAGTCACAAAGCCCTGAGAGAAAAAGTAAAATGGAAGCTAAGGATGTAGCTTGCCTAGCAAGAGGCCCTAGATTCCATTCCAAGTGCTACATAAAACAAACAAAACAAACAGATCGGGCTGGAAAGATGGCTCAGATGTTAAGAGCACTGGCAGCTCTTCCAGAGGTCCTGAGTTCAATTCCCAACACCCAGGCTCACAACCATCTGTTGAAAACCTCAATACACCTCCCCCCTTTTTGAGACTCAGAACGTTGCCTCAGTGGAAAATTCCCCAAGGTCCCTTCCCCTAGACAGGGAACAAGGTCAAATTAAAAAGAACATCTGGTCCAGAGTGGACACCAGCAGGCTGTTAAGATAAGTTTAATCTTGACCTTGTGGTTTCTCCAGGAAGGATGAGTTATGCCCGAGTTCTTACAATACCCCTATTGCTTGCCCAGATCTGCACCTACAGTAGCTCCACTTCTTACAATACCCCTATTACTTTGCTTGCCAAAAGTATGTATATAAAAAGAAAACTGTCCTAAAGCTCAGCGTGTTCAGTTAGCTAAGGCTGCTGAATTGCTCACAGACGCCTGTGTAAAAAATAAACCTCTTGCGGTTTGCATCCAACTGTCTGGTTATTGAGCTCAGGACGTCACCGGGGTATTCAGCCTGAAGCCTGATAATCTCAGGTCTTTCACTGTAATGAGATCTGACATCCTCTTCTGGCCTGCAGGCATACATGTAAACAGAACACTGTATATATAATAAATAAATCTTAAAAACAAACAGGTACAGCTTGGAGGCAGAATGACAAGAAGTTTAAGGTCATGTTGGAATAACAGTGAGTTTGAGGGAGGTAAAGGGCTTCAAAGGCTAGGGCATCCATCAGTCCCTAGGAGGATGCTGCAGGAGAAAAACAAGAAGTTTCCATACAGTGCCAGACACAGCCCAAAGTGACATGGTGGCTCACACCTGAAATCTCAGCTCTCTGGAGGCAGACAAGAAGATCACCATGAATTTGAGGCCACCCTGTGCAATATGTTAAGTCCCAGGCCAGAGTGAGACTCATCTACACACTACAGAATGTAGATAACAAGGAAAGACAGTAGCTACTGTAAAATAATGGGAAGCTGGAGTGTGGCTGGGGACAGCATTTCCTAGCATGTGCAAGGTTCTGGGTCTGACACCTAGAACCACAAAAAAGAAAAAGATGACTAGGAAAGAGGTGTTGCATAGAATTTCCTCAGAGATTGAAACATTCTATCCTATAGGAATCTCAAGCAGGAAGGTAAACAATTCAAAATAGCTTCAGGAAGTCCCTGAAACTGACCAGATTCACTAAGCCCCTCTCTGCCAGAGTAAGTGATAAAAGCTGAGAGACTTCTTTGCTGAAGGAAGCTGAGCTGCAAAGAACACTCTGAGACCAGGCCAGATGCCTACCAGTGATTTAGACAGAATTTCTTGAAAAGAACACTCAACTTATGGGACCGCCTGCAGGCTATGCAGTGTACTCCAGGTTCCCAGCTTTGTGGACTGTCACCTATGCTATGGTGGCTTTGGTGATGCAGCTGTCTTTGAGTTATTTCTGCTCCGGTAAGTACCCCTCACCATATCCTTGTAAATAACCTTAATAAAACGTATTGGTTCACCAAGTTAGGCTTTGGTGGCATCAGTACTTTGTTCTGCAGTGGGTTCCCTATCTGGGGCGAGCAGATGTGTGTGTTGTGTCTCCCTAGGAGATGCTTCATCACACAACAGAGAACCAAGGCAGATCATAAGGTACCCTCCACCCTTTCTCCACCATGGTTGAACAGGCTCTCTAGGAGCTAGGAAATGGCAAGGAAGTTGAACCCTCAGGTCTTACCTGGTCCCCAAGTTAGGCAAGCCAATCATCTGGATGAAGTAGATCCCTATTTGACAAAAAAATACAAAGAAGAACACGAAGAAGCTGAAAGAATTGTCAGACCTGTGGAGAGAGAAAGAAGTGAAATCACAAGAGGTCTTGGGGCCAATGAGATGGTTCAGTAGGGGAAGGTGCTTGCTGCCAAGCCCGATGTTCTATGTTCAATCCTGGAGCCCGAAGGATGAAAGGAGACAACTCTCACAAGCTGTGCTTTGACATATGTATGTGCACTGTGGCCTGTATGTATATGTGAATGTACACACACATACCAAAACCCAAACCAAAAAAGGGCTAGAGAGATGGCTCAACGGTTTAGAGCACTAGTTAGTTGCTCTTCCAGAGAACCTGGGTTTGCTTCCCAGGATCCACATGGTGGTTCACAACTGTCTTAACTCCAACGCCCTCTTCTGGCCTCTGCATGTATATGACACACAGATATTCATGCAGGCAAAACACTGATACAATCTTTAAAACTAGCCGGGTGTTGGTGGCGCACGCCTTTAATCCCAGCACTTGGGAGGCAGAGGCAGGCGGATCTCTGTGAGTTCGAGACCAGCCTGGTCTACAGAGCGAGTTCCAGGACAGCCTCCAAAGCCACAGAGAAACCCTGTCTCGAAAAACCAAAAAAAAAAAAAAAAATCTTTAAAACTGCCCCCAACAAGCCGGGCGGTGGTGGCGCACGCCTTTAATCCCAGCACTCGGGAGGCAGAGGCAGGCGGATCTCTGTGAGTTCGAGGCCGGGCTGGACCGATAGCCTCCAAAACAATACAGAGAAACCCTGTCTCGTAAAACCAAAAAAAAAAAAAAAAAAAAACTGCCCCCAACAGACACACACACACACATACACACACACACACACTGTAGACATCAGTGGAAGAAAGGCTATCTGTGGAGTAGCAAGCTGGTTAAGAGTCCTCAAGAGGGGCTGGAGAGATGGCTCAGAGGTTAAGAGCACTGCTTGCTCTTCCAGAGGTCCTGAGTTCAATTCCCAGCAACCACATGGTGGCTCACAACCATCTGTATTGATGCCTTCTTCTGGCCTGCAGGCATACATGCAGACAGAACACTGAATACATAACAAATAATAAATCTTTAAAAAAAAAAGTCCTCAAGAATTAAGTACGTCCACTAGTGTGCTGTTTTGTTTTAGTTACAGACAAAAGGTTTCCTAAAGTCCAGGATGGTCTCTTAATTCCCTATATAACCTTCAACTAATGACCTTCCTTTCTACACTCTCAAATGCTGGGAGTACAGGCCTGTGCCACTAGACCTAGTTTTATGTGGAGCTGTAATGGAGCCCAGGCTTTGCACGTGGTAGGCAAGCACTCTGTCAACTGAGCCCCATCCCTGGCTTTGACCACTGCATCCTTGCGAATCAGCATACTGTGGAAATTCAGGGTCTGCCTGAGACTCCCAGCCCTAAAAGCATCGAGCATGAAGTATAATTCCAAATCCCCAGGGGGTCTTAGAGACACATCCATTTATGCTCCCAGAGCTAGCTTACATATTGGCAACAGGTGCTGGGATCATAAAGATGAGTCACAGATAGCATCTGACATCCGAAGGACAGCACCACCAGCCTCAGAATGATGCTCCCTCATCACAGCAACTGAGTCCCCTACCCACCAGCAAGTCTGCCCAGGAACAGTACAGCAGTGGGGGGGGGGGGTGTTCCCAGTCACACATTTGCCTGTGTTTATTCATGGACAGGCCTCTAGCAAATCTCACTTATAGGCTAGGCTGAGGTAAACAGCTCTTAATTTGTCTACTCTGACTCAGAGAGAAAAGGAAAGCCATTTTCCTACCACTAGGACTGTGATGGGGCCCAGAGCTTGTACTAGCTCCACTTACCTGAAAGCCTTGTAGATTGGTCGGTACCAACAAAGGAAGGCACAGGGGGTGAAGATCACAAACCAAAGGATGGAGAGGCCAAAGGCTGTTCCATTAGCGGCATTACTTGTGAACCAGGCCAGGCATGCAAGCAGGTTTAGAAACAGTGTCACTGAATGCACTGGGAAGGGGCAAGGAGAGAAAAGTGACCCAAGGTGGCTGGAGGACTGGTGCCCACAGAGCAAGCCCCTCCCTAGAAAAGAGGGAGGCTGCAAAGATAGTAGGGGATGTCAGTCTACACTTAGGCAAGCTTAGCTTCCAGTCCTGGTTCTCTGGAACCTCACACCAGGGACCAGGCTTTCTTAGGAAGATCTAGGTTTCAGGGACAGGCATGGTGAGGTGCAGACCCAGGGATAATCCTCAGGGAATGAAATAACCCTTTCTTAAAGGCCCACAATGGAGCTGCACAGTTTTTTTCATCACTGCTGGAACTAGAGGCCTGTGAGGGGAGGCCTTCACCCAAGTGGAGCCTCTCAGTATGGTGAGCTCTATAGGAACACAGAAGTCTCTGGTTAGTCCCCTCTCCCTTTCAAGGTAGTCTAGCTGGCCCTCTTAGGCAGGTTCCCAGACAAGACATAACGAACCTCTCCATGTCAGCCCAAACACAGGGAAGGATAGAGTGGGTGAGAGGTCTTGACCCCAGGGAGCAAAGCCCAAAGTAAACACAGGGATCTCGGGACATTGCCAATACACCCTGGAACTCACACATCCAGAGATAGTAAAGCATCTTGCATATCCGCTGGTAGTCAGCAGGGATCTCCGTGGAGAAGTCCTGATAGAAGCAAGGCTTGACCGGGCACCATGAGGGTAGGGGCGGCCAGTTGTTGTCTCTCACTGTATAAAAAGGGTTCAGCCTCATCAGTGGCATGGAGGAGAGCACACACTGGCCCAGTTTATAGGCAAAGAAGAGCTTGCAGAGGTGCCCCTGCAAAGAGTTCAGGAGTTTCGGGGCTTCGTGGAACATGAAGTGAGTTAAAAGAGGGACCCAGAGAGATACCCACAAGTTCACTCCAAGATAATGAAGTCCAACTATATTAGAGCTAAATATCCTAATCAGTTGTTCTCAACCTTCCTAATGCTGCAACCCTTTAATACAGTTCCTCATGTTGTGGTGACCCACCAATCATAAAATTATTTTCATTGCTACTTCATAACTATAATTTTGCTACTGTTGTGAGTCATAAGTACATGGTTTTCTGATGGTCTTAAGTGACTCCTGTGAAAGGGTCTTTCAACCCAAAGGGGTCACAACACACAGGTTGAGAACCAGTGACGTAAACAATGTGTTTGTTTCTTTCAAGACAGTGATATAGCTCTGGCTGTCCTTCAATGTGGACCAGGCTGGCCTCAAACTTACAGAGATCTGCCTGCTTTTATCTCTTGAATGCTGGAATTAAAAGGGTGAGCTAGCACATGCCTTTTAAACTATTTTTTTATTAATGATCAACTCATAAGCAGGACAACCAGGGTTGTCATCATAATCATGTATAGGATGATTATCCTCCAAGTCAAGCAACCATCATCTTGGGGAGTTCAGCCTCGCCCTCTAGCAAACTTATTACCCCAGCTGGGTTTGTTGACCATTTACTTCCCCTCATGGGGGGTCAGGTACCCCTAATTTGAGTATCCACACTCCCTTATACATGTTGTTGCAATTCTGCTTTAATTCCACATGGTCTTGGGGAGGAGCTAGAGTCTACAGGGAAGGGGGCTCCATCAACACCACTACAGGGAAGTCCTCATTCCTGCTGGGTAAGACTTTCCAGGGACATCCTGTTGGAGGAGGAGCACCCACACCCCTCTAAGTAACCCCTCACCCATGCCCTGTAAGGAAGCCCATGAAACTCATTGGTTCTGCAGAGTGAAGTTTGTCATTGGGACCTTGTTTATGTCCCCTTCTTTTTTTTTTTTTTTTTTTTTTGGTTTTTCGAAACAGGGTTTCTATGTGGCTTTGGAGGCTGTCCTGGAATCGGCTCTGTAGACCAGGCTGGCCTCGAACTCACAGAGATCCACCTGCCTCTGCCTCCCGAGTGCTGGGATTAAAGACGTGCACCACCAACACCTGGCTTTTATGTCCCCTTCTAAGGAAGAAATTTTAGCATGGAACTCTCGGCCCAGGGAATCAAAGAGTTTCAGAGCCGGGAAGGAATGTAAAAATCACCCACACCTGTCAGGCCTATTCTACTGGTCTCCTAGCTTCTGCCTCACTGCCCTCTAACCCAGACCCAGCACCTTTCCTTCCTTTTGTTGGGTGCAGTCTTGCTGTATTAGAGCCTTGGCTGGCTTGGAACTTGGAGTAATCTTCCTGCCTCTGCCTTGCACATGCTAGGTTTACAGATATTGCCACTATGCTGAGCTCCCCAAACCAATATGCTTCCAAAATGACAGCCTTGCAAGATCCCCCACGAAGATAGCTCAGAGCACTCCTTGTGCCAGGGAGAGCAGGCTAGACCCCAACAGTCTGCTTTACCATGTAAGTTCGCCGCAGTGTTCTGCAACTCTCGCTCCTTGCGTTCCAGCTCAGCGGCTTTCCTGTCTAATTCTTCCTGCTGCCGGAGCAGGCCTGCTTGGGCTGCAGCTGCAACAGCCTAGAGAGAACAGGAGCGGGGAACAGCCAGAAATGAGAAAGGAACAGTGCTAGCCCAGGCAGGCCAGCAGAGGCACTTCACCCAGGCAGGAAGACCTAGCAGGTAGTCTCAAAGGCAGTCCTGCTCAATAAAGTGCCTTGGGTTCTAAGGAATACCATGCCAAGTGCCTAGTGACCCACTGCCTACTTCTGACCCCTTAGTCCTTGCCAAGACTCTCCACTTCCTCCCCCTCCCCCATGGCTTGTCTAGTCCCCATACTGTAATCCAGACTAAGTTGAAGTATATTGTCCTTTGGGTAACAGCAAAGGGGAAAGACCTCACAGGAGCCCAGCCTGAAGCCAGAAACCCAGAGACCCGAAGCTAAAGGGAAGAACCCAAAGCATGTGTACAAAGTGGAAACAATGCTAAGCTGCCAGCGGCAAACAGGGAGAATGTGAGGCAGGCCACGACACCAGAGCCTCAGTAACTCACACCAAAGCAGCCTCCCTCCCTACTCTGCCCAAGGAGCTGCCTCCCAGGCCCACCTGAACAATGTCTGGCCATGCCCTGGGGACAGTCCATGATGTATGGCCCTTCTCTGCCTGACTTTCATGGCATGCAGGGGCCAAGGCAGAGCAGAGCCTTCTAATGAGGCAGCTCAGGGACTCTCAGGTGAGGCTGAGTAGAACTGGGCCCATGGTCCTGCTCCTGCTGCTGCCACCACTGTTGGCCCCATCTTCCTCCTGAAGAATGAGACTATGGTCCTCTCTGAGGGATCAGGCAGTACACTGGCATCTCACAGGATGACAACTAGGCACGTGTATACACATACACATTCTACCAAAACTGTTCTCCAGAGAGCCAAGGTTGCCTCTGGGGGGTGAACTTCAGACACTGGGATTAGAATTGACCATACAGTGTCACACTGAGGGTCCTAGGTTCATCTCCCTGTGCCATCACTGGAACAGAGGCAGGGAGGGTCTCTGCATCCCATCACCCTGCACGTAGGGACCATGTCATTTCACAGGGTCCTAGGACCCAGCCTGCGGGCTCCAGGTGCCCAGCCCACCCTCTTGCTCATCTACACTAGGCCTACCTTCGGAAGCTTTCGCATGTAGCTGTCCCTGGGAATACTATCTCCTCCTAGTAGCATCTGCCTCTCTGAGGGCTCACCCGCTGCCAGGAATCGGGCAGGCAGAAACTTGCTGGCCTGCCTAAGCAGGAGCTGCAATACACAACTCCACTGTGGGCCATGCTCACCAGGGCAGTGAGAAGCCTGGGGTGGGGGTGGGGGCGGGGAAGTGACTGAGGCTGGCATCAGGACAAGCAGACAAGGTTCACCAGACTCAGTGACAAGACAATGCCAATAGGATAGAAGGCAGGAATAATGAGGTTGAAAAAGAGAGTGGCCAGGGATGCAGGTTGGTGACAGAGTGTTAGTGAGGACCTGGATTTGATTGACAGTGCCACAAACTAAAAAACAAAGAGACAGAGTCTGGGCCCTAAGAAGGACCTGGAGTGGCCAACAGGCCAGATGCTCTCTGCAGACACCACGGGGCCCAGCCCGGTGAGTAGTGCTTACTTCAAGAGTGGGGGTGGGGCCACAGGTTGGCTCCAAAGAAATTCACAAGCCACCTCAGGGGTGAAGGCCCTTGGCTGCCCCCAACCCTATGGGTTCAACTATGGACCTGGGTGATTCTCACTTGCACAGGAGAAGCCAAAGAACTCTCAACCTGTACCTGAGGCGTTGGCTGTGCTGGCTCCACTGAGGGCTGGAGAACTGCTGGCTGGGAGGGCCCAGGAACTTGTGTGACAGGAACTGTTGTTGCTGCATTTGTCTGTGTGGGACAAAGGAGGGAAGTGAGTGGGTTCTACCGGTGGCAAACCCCCAGTGAGGGGCCTGATGCGGGCTCTCTTCTGCAGGTTTCTGGCCAATAAGGCTTAGGTTTGGAGGACAGTAACCTCTAACCCTCACCCCTACCCCACATTCCTGGTCTTGTGGGATACAAGGCTTTCTGGCATTGCCCTATAAGAGAGGCCCACGTCACAGAACCAACAGGAGAACTTCAGTGACTTCTGGCAATGTCTCCATTCTTACCTTACCCCAAGTCCACACTCAGACTGTCCCCCTGAGGATATTAACTTCTGCAGGGCCGTTCTTCTCTGCCACGTTCCTTGCCCCAGACACCTTGGCACCTCCCACTAACACACATGCCACCACCTCCCAGAAGACTGCACGACTAAGAGAAAGGACAAAGTCACCAACCTCTGAGAAGGGATTGAATTCAGCCAGGCCACCCTGAGGGGCATTGGTCAGCTGGGTCACAGAGGGATCCTGGGAAGGAGAAAAAGAAGCATTAGCTGTTGACCAGGGGTCAGGACAATCCTCATGGCTCAGTGTGGTAGCGTGTGTCTGTGATCTCAGCCCTCTGGAGGCCAAAGCAGGAGGATTAGGAACAAAAGAGTTCTAGGCCAGCCTGGGCTTACATAGTGAGTTCCACGCCAGGCAGGGTTACAGAATGAGAGAATGAGATCTTGTCTCATCCTGCGTTTCCATCCTCTTGCTCCCACCCTCCTCTTTGCCCTTTAGGTGACAAGCACAGCTTGTTTTCATCCTGCCTCTCCATGGCAGGTACCCACCCCATCCTGGTCTTGCTCCACGGCCATGCAGAAACTCTGGGAGGGACAGCTATGAGAGAGGCCACCGTGCAACTTGCTGGAGTCTCTACAGTCTGTTCCCAGACCTGCACTTTGTTTTGTATTTCAAGACAAGGGTTTCATATACCTCAGGTCAGTCTTAAATTGTAAAGACCAGGATGGCCTTATCTCCTGATCCTCATGATTCCATCCCAGATGCTGGGATTATAGGTGTGTACCACCACATCTGCTCTACCGACTCAATTCTTAAATACAGTGTTGCAGACAGAAGGCAAGCCCCTCGGTTCATAGGTATGGAAAGACACTGGTCATGGTGAAGTGTTGGGAGCTGGCTTCCTAGTCTGAAACTTAACAGAGCTAAGTATCAGTACCGAATATGTTCTCTGGTTTTTCTATACAGTAGTTCTGTCTTCCCACTGGGACCACCAGTTCCTAGAGTAGAGCTGTGTCTCACCACCCCCAGTGCCACACCCTGAGTGGATCACCAGCTGGGTCATGGGTCTCTAGACAGCCTCATTTTAGGGACCCTGCACCTCCTTCCAGTCTCCTCCACCAGACTGCATCCTGTCTGTTCCACACCCACCTCGGCTTTGGTGACTCCTGCAACTCAGAGAAAGTGACAATGTGAGGTTCTGGTGGTCACCAAAACTCATGGGGATTGGTCCTGAGGTTATTTTCACCAGCAGTCATCTCTGAGAACCAGCCAGCCTGCAGGGAGGCTTTGGCCCAGGATCTGCCCCCTTTCAAAGCCAGCAGATACCTGCCCCTGCAAGCAAGCCCAAGTCACTGAAACCAGACCCACCAGTCAAGGAACCGGCTACTACTGTCTGTCACCACAGGACATAGGAACCAAGGGGCAGCTCAGGTAGCAGATTCAGCAGCTGGCCCACACACCTAGCTAAGGTGTGCAAGTTTAATAGGCAGCTTGAAGCTCAAGGCAAGATTCCATTTCTATCACAGTAACAGTCAATCAGCAGATTCTTGAGGTAGGATAGAGATGGGAGTGACTATGCTGTCCACACTGATTCTCCCCCTCCCCTTCTTCTTCTAACGTCTGCAAGGTGTGGCTCATCCTAACTGGCTTGTCCCTACCCTTGAGCTGAGTGTGCTCTGCAGCTGGGGCATCTAGGGCTGGTCCACCTTCAGGCTCCTTGAGGGTTGGTGAGGGGCCTATGGCAGAGCAGTGCCACAGGAACAGTTGGGAAAATGCCATACTGTAGCGCTTCCTTTCCCCAAAGCACTGCCTCAGGCTACGGGACCTGCAGCACAACAGTGGTCCAAGAACTTGGAGGCTGCTTGCCTGGGCACAATGAGCTAAAACACTATGACATATGGGTACTTCTCATGTAAGGAAATCTGGGAGCTGTGGGCAGCTTCAAGAGAGGCTGAGCTTAGGTGAGGACAGGGAGGGAGGGAGAACTAAGGGAAGGTGACATTTTCTGAGTGTCTACTATGTGCCAGGCTCACCGCATAATGACATTACTGTGAATTCTAGTCACCCAGAATTGATCACCGTGTCACGGCACCAGAAGGTGCTATCAGCCGTTTTCATCTTGCTTTTATTTATTTTTGAGAGGCATATGTCATATTGCCTTACAGAATCTAGTACCTACAGACCCCTTAACCCTACCCTGAGACAAGAATCCCTCTGTGTAGCTCAGCATGTCCTGGAACTCAGTATTGTTTACCAGACTGGCTGTGAACTCAGACCTTCCACTGTGACCTCTCCAGAGCTGGGATTACAGGTATATGCAACCACACCCAGCTCCATAGTGACCTGGAGTCTCTCCTTTGTGTCTATAATGTATTAATGGGCAGACAAGGAGACTGTCACCAAAGCCTGAGTTTGATCCTTGAAACCTACAAGGTGAAAGGAGAGAAGGAACCTGAGTTGTCCCTGACCTCCACACATGCAGATACATACACATAAAGGGAGGGAAGAGAAGGAGGGAAGGACGTAAGCAAGCATTCATTATATTCCATTCTGTAAAGACTTGAAAAAGATACAATGGTCAGCTACTTTTTCTTTCTTTTTTTTTTTTTTTTTTTTAAGCTTTTTGAGACAGGGTTTCTCTGTGGCTTTGGAGACTGTCCTGGAACTTGTTCTGTAGACCAGGCTGGCCTCGAACTCACAGAAATCTGCCTGCCTCTACCTCCCGTGTGCTGGGATTAAAGGCGTGCGCCACCAACGCCCGGCAAAGTGGTCTGCTTTTATGTTTTATGGCTCTACGGAAAAAGGCAACCACGAACTTCCTCATATAACCTTCACCACAGCCATATGAGAGACAAGTACACCTGATGTAGACGGGAAAGGCCAGGCTCAGTGTGGGATCGTAGCTATTGAAGATTACTAGAGCAGGAGGGTGGAGATGGCTCACTGGTTGGAAGTACCTGATGCTCTTCCAGAAGGCTCACATTCGATTCCAAGCACCAACATGGTGGCTCACAGCCATCTGTAACTCCTGTTCTAGGTGATTTGAAACCCTCTTTGGACTCCTCAGGTCACATACACATGGTACACAGGCATACACACAGGCAAAACACCCACGTATATTTTAAAAAAAAGGTCTCAGAGTAGTGTCTGAGCTAGACTCTGAATCCAGGTCTGACTCTAGGGACAGTAAGCCTGAGACTGCAATGCTAGGACAAATAGAAGGTTATTGATCACTGTGTGGCTAAAGAATGAACAAGGGCTTCCTTACTGAGCTTCTAAGAGTAGGATGTTGGGCACATCTTTTCCTGTAAGGACCACACCGATGAAGCCAGGCGGTGGAGGCCTTTAATCCCAGCACTTGGGAGGCCTTGGCAGATCTCAGTGAATTCAAGGCCAGCCTGGTCTACAAGAGCTAGTTTCAGGGCAGCCAGGACTGTTACACAGAGAAACACTGTTTCAAAAAAACAAACAAGCCTGCCGTTGGTGGCTCACGCCTTTAATCCCAGCACTCGGGAGGCAGAGGCAGGTGGATCTCTGTGAGTTCGAGACCAGCCTGGACTACCAAGCGAGTTCCAGGACAGCCTCCAAAGCCACAGAGAAACCCTGTCTCGAAAAACCAAAAAAAACAAACAAACAAACAAAAAAAAAAACAAGCAAAACCAAAAATCAGATGTGGACCATGAGCTTTCACTCCAAGTCACAAAATGAAGTTACTAGCATCAACTTTTCCCACTCAAGAGCACAAGCCCACCTTCAATCCCATCACTCAGGAGGCAGAGTCAAGCGGATCTCTGTGAGTTTGAGGCCAGCCTGGTCTACAGAGCGAGTTCCAGGATAGCCTCCAAAACAATACAGAGAAACCCTGTCTGGAAAAAAACAAAAACAAAACAAACAAACAAAAAAAGCACAAGGCTCTTACTTAAGTCAAGCAGTTACTTAAAAGGATGGTAAGATCTAAGTTTCACCGACACAGAAGTAACCTAAACTCCCCTCAGCTGTTCAGACTGGAACAACACCTTTTACTGAATTTATGAGAGGGGAGAAAAGCTCCTAAAGTTAATTCTTTACATTCAGTAAACAGTTGAGGAACACGCTGAGATAAGAGGACACAGCTCCTTCCCTCTAGTTCCCTTCACAGTATGGTGGACTAGTAACTGAGACAAGTTGACACATGCCAAGAGCACGCTGGGACAAGGTACTGAGTGATTGACAGGAGGGACAGGAGATCCCTCAGAGGGCTGGGAAGAGGGTGGGTGGGATGGTTAGCTTTAATCATGAACTTGCTTCAACCTTATAATCATCTGGGAACAGTCTCAACTAGAGACTGTTCACATTGAGTTGGTTTGTGGGTTTGTCTGTGGGAAGTTATCTTAATTGATATGGGAAGCCCCAAACCACTGTGGGTGGTTCCATTCCCTAGGCAGTGGGGCGGGGGGGGGGATCCTGAAATATGTAAGAGTAGAGAAATTAAAAGCAAGCAAGTGAGCATATACGCATCACATGCTCTTTGATCTTAACTGCAGGTGTGAAGCCTAGCTGTTTGAAGTTCCTGTGTTAACTTCCCCATAATGTTGAACTGTAATGGTGGAATTATAAATTGAAATAAACCCCATTCCCCCCTAAGTTGCTCTTTGCCAGGGTATTTTATCACAACAGAACTGAAACTAGACTAGTGGGGTTTCCAAAAGAAAGGAGGAAGGCACGCAAAGGCTAAGACAGCAAGGCCAGCAGCAGGTAAGAGGAGTATTTCCATGCAGCTGGGTGTGAGGGCCCTGGGAGAAGCATGGCTTGGTTGTGGCTTACAAGGACCCCTTTCCTGGTTTGGAAGGATATCTCTTTCCATGTGTTTCATATTTCCTGATTAGCTCTGAGCCTCACTGACCTCCCTGCTTTCCGCCCACAAGCTCCTGGTATGGGACTGTTCCAGGCTCCAAAAAAGCACATTAAACACCTCAGGTCTGGCAGAGTAGTGCAGACGTGTAATTCCAGCATCATGAGGCTAGAAGGAAGACCACCATAAGCCACCCTAGGCTACCTACCTAGTGAGTTTTAAGTCAGTCTAAGCTACACGGTAAGACCCTGTCCCAAAACAAAACAAAATAGCCTTAAAGTCACACCAAAAGGTTTCACTATATAAATCCAAGTTAGTTTTGTTAGGCCGACAGAAAACACATCAAAAGAACATTGCAACAAGACTGTGAAGTATGGTGACCTCTTTTCAGTCTTCCAAATTTTATATATTG